CAAAGCCAGCAATGGTTTGTTGAGTGTTTCTCACATAGCATCCCTTTGACGTGGACTCTCCTGCCTCCCTTTTTTTTTTTTGTCAGCTATCTCTGGGTAGATGGTATCCTGCCTCCCTCTTTCACCCTCGCAATTACATTGGGCACATCCTGACAATCCATGATAATCTTCCCGTTTCAAGGTCAGCTGATTAGCAGCCTAAATTCCATCTGCAACTTTAATTCTCTGCCATGTAACCTAACATGTTTCGTGGATTAGGGGCATGAACATCTTAGGGGGCCTTTTTTCTGTTTGCCATATACATCAACTCTATAATACAGGTAATATTCCTGTTCCTATTTTATAGATTAGGAAACTGAGGTCTAGAGAGGTTAACTATCTTGCTCAAGGACAAATACTTAGTAAATATCAAGACCAGGATTTGAATTTTGGTAAGTTTTTCCAGCCTGTGCTCTTATATTTTTCTAGAACGTGTTGCAACAAGATATGCTCTTAATCCTACTTTATAGTGCCTCTTTGAATATACATTTCATATAGAATGGCCTTGTACTACTAGGAAGATGATTGTATAGGCATAGGATTTATGACATTAGATAGTTTTTTATAGTAAATCCCGGAGATTGGATATACATTGTACTATGGAGTTAGCATATATGGAGTGTGATTAGGAGTTCAGTTAACTGGTGGTATGATTTGGGACAAGTTGCTTAGCTGCCCTAACCTGCAGTTTCTCAGGGTATCGGAATCTTCACGGTCCCTTGGAATATGCAGATTCTGTAATTTATATGTATGATTTCAGTAAATCATACATGCATAAGCAAATATTCCTAGAAATCATAAGTGGTTAATTTCCCAGAATATATTCCTCTGATACGATGTTTTGGAGGTCAGCCAGAGTTAACTGATTTGTTTGTGCTTTTCTCTCCTTCCTTATCCCATGTCTTATTTAAAGAAGGATTCAAGATGGCTATATAAATGGGCTATATAAACATTGAGGAGGTAAAATTTAGGGAAAGTGAAACCTTTCAAAGTCTGTATATAAGGTAAGAGAGTCACAATGTTTAGGTGCTTTCAACGTATATTCAGAGTAGGTCAGCCTTAGGGCACCCAGGACATTCCCTTGGTTCTAAGCAGATTTAGCATTCTCATTGGTGGGTTCTCATTGGTGATACCAGTAAATAGTGGTCTTTTTCCTTTGGCCAACTTTTTAATCTGCTTATTTTAAGATGATTCCAAGCCCAAGGTCACCATTTGAATAGTTTAAACACTTTTCAATTGGATTAAGATGGCATATTCACGTTTATAGGGTCTTTAGGCAAGGGATCAGTAAAGAAAACCAAAAACAAAAACCTGATTTTAAATAGAAAGGTCCAGAAAGTAACTCGAAATGTTCTCAGTGGAGTCAGTGTACTTGCCAGTAGCCAGGACTAAATGAGAATTTAATTGTTCATTTTCATCCCAGTGATTTTTTAAGTTTGTTGGCAGCTTCTCATTGGTTGAGCTTAAGTTTTGTTTTTCTTTAATATAGGCATTTACAAAAAATAGCCCAAAATAAGTTTTACTTATGTATTTGTTCTTTTTTTTAATAAAATCAACTTTATTGAGGACTATTTTGTATATAATCAAGTTCATTTATTTTAAGAGTTCATTGAGGTTTTTTGTTTTTGTTTTTGTTTTTTTTTTTTGAGAGAGAGTCTGACTCTGTTGCCCAGGCTAGAGTGCTGTGGCATCAGCCTAGCTCACAGCAACCTCAAACTCCTGGGCTCCAGTGATCCTTCTGCCTCAGCCTCCTGAGTAGCTGGGACTACAGGCTTGCACCACCATGCCTGGCTAATTTTTTCTGTTTTTAGTTGTCTGGCTAATTTCTTTCTATTTTTAGTAGAAAAATGAGAGCAACAGGAGAGAAGACAGCAAGAGGCTGGTCTTGAACTCCTGACCTCAAGCAATCCTCCCACCCTGGCCTCCCAGAGTGCTAGGATTAATTACAGGTGTGAGCCACCATGTCCAGCCTTTT